TTATCGGTATAAATATAGTTGACCTATTTTGGGTCAGGTATCAGTAACTTTACAGCTAATAAATGGGTCCGATCACCACGTGTGTGGCTGGGATTTGATAATAGAAGCGGACATAATGATTGATGGGACCGGGTTTGATGATCGCATGGTGTGAGGTCCATTGAGAGTCTCGTAGAGGCTTTTGAAAATCTTAAATGGGCCCATAGTAAAGGCTTTTTGGTATGGTTGTAAATGGTCTACTGGGACCCAACTACTAGTATTTAATTAATTCAATTTAGACACTTGATAATCTTAAATTCTAGGATCAATTAAGTTTTATTAAAACGTATAAAATCAAAGGAAAAAAACATAATGGTTCACTAATAAGATAATGTTTTATGAGTTCTTTGATCATTAAAAGTTACAAATAGTACCCGACTAGGGAGTTGCTTTGTTGAGTTCCACAATTTTAAAAGTTACAAAATGGTCACTAATATTCATTATATGCCAACTCATCATTTTTCGTTAAATTTTTTACGGCAGTCTGAGCTGCATGCTGGCTAAGATATGATAATATTATCTCATAATCTCAAATGACTATCATATCTCAGTCAACTCGTTAATTTCTTAATAGAAAAGGGTTGAACATAATGAATAGTCGAGTGACAATTTTGTAACTTTTAATAGTCGAGAGACTCAACAAAACAACTCCCTATAGTTAGTAGACCATTTTGTAATTTTTAATAATTAAAGAACCTAATCAAATAATATTGTATAGTAAGAGGACCATTGTACTTTACTTTTTTATTAACTTTATATTCTAAAATTATAATAGTCCCCAAAATAATAAAATAAACAAATAATGTGAGCAAACATGGGCTGTGGACAATATGAGATGTCAAATGTAAATGTCACATCAATCCCCAAATTAATAATTCATTGATCTTTTTCTCATCAACCAATTATTCTTGTCGATTATTATTAAAAAAACATTAGGGTAAATTAGTACTTAAATTTTGATCAATTTTAGTATTTAAATTTTTAATTTTTCATTTAATTTTTAATTTTTAATTTATTTTAGTACATGTCGTTAAAAGTTTAACGCATTTAGTACATAAATTATCAGTTTTAGTCCGTTTTAGCATTTAAACTTTTATCTTTTCCAAAACTTACGTTTAAATTTTGAACGAGTACTAAAATGAAGCAAAAACTAAAGTTTTTAACGACGGATTATTAAAATGAAACACAAATAAACACTAGGTATAATTTTGGAAAAATTAAAAATTAGATACTTAAATGCATCAAAATTAATAGTTTAAGTACTAACATGTAATTTACCCAAGAAATGATATAATCCTTGTCGCCAATATTTCACATACTAGAAAATATATTTTATTTGGTTTTAGATTTGCAATTTACGTTGCATGAACATTTACGTAACTTATACTTTATTACATTAAAATAAGTGGATTATAAAATTCATTAAAATATCAATAATTACTATTAATTATGACACTTATCTTCCTCTAGGATCCATAATCTGTGAAAACACATCACTCGTTGTCGTTGCAGCGGAAGCCGCTTGGTCGCTCATGGAGTCGAATCGATCGATGCCGATCAATTCCTGTTGCAGGATCCATCCTGGGATTTCCGGAATATGATTTGCACTGTTATCTGATGATTCATTTTGTGTTGAAGCCTCTTGGGCCTCTTCGCCGAATTTTCCCAGGGAATCAATGTTGATTAATCCGACAAGATTCGAATCTATGATCTTTTCTAATAGGCCTTTCTTTTGCCAATGCATGCCCCATTCAGCAATGTTGACTTGTTCCCTTGGTAGAGCAGGGTTTATTGCAGGCCTAGCACGTAATATTTCCATGAGCACGACTCCGAACGAGTACATGCCGGATTTCTCTGTGAGATGCTGTCGACGGAAGTACTCGGGCTCGAGATAACCGAAGCTACCTTTCACTGCGGTGCTCACATGAGTTTGGTCCAGAGTAGGGCCTAGTTTCGACAATCCGAAGTCCGCAACTTTCGCGGTGAAGTTTTCGTCTAGGAGTATGTTTGTTGTTTTGACGTCGCTGTGAATGATTGTGTCTGATGCTCCAGTGTGAAGGTAGTGGAGGCCTTTCGCAGCTCCTGATGCAGATTTCGAGCCGTTGTTTCCAGCTGATCGAGGGGAGGTTCGAGCCGTATATGTGTTTCCGCAACGGACCGCCTGCCATGAACTCGTAAACAAGGATCATCTCATTTTGTTCTTCACAGTAGCCTATGAGAGAAACTAGGTGCCTGTGCCTCAACCTGGAAAGCATCAAAATTTCCGTCCTGCTTTACGGCAACCATGACACCGCTTTCCAGCACACCTTTATAAACCTTCCCAAATTCACCTACACCAATGACCAAACTCTCATCAGAGTTCTTGGTCGCTTCACGAATCTCCGCGAACGACAGTACGCGGCCTAAACCGTGAGATTGTGCGGTGGAAGCAAGGCTGCAAATCGAAACTTTCGAATCCGAATTTCCGGCATTCTTCGGGAGAGGAAACCAGCTAGAGGGGCAACGTTTAGGCCTCTTCCGCCAGTGCAAACGCAAGGACAGAGCTGCCACAACTATGATTAAAACCACGAAAACCGCAGCCGAAGAAATCGCCAGGACAATCAATTTTCTCCTGGGGAACTTTGAGCTCTTATGAATTGCACAAACATTTCCATCAAGGCTACCACAAGGATTGCTCATTTTCATGATCTCTAAACCGTTCAAAATCGCATTGCTCGGGAAATTCCTTAAATCGGGTGGACCAACCTGAACCAAAATCTGATTCGATCCCGTCGAAACGTTCGTGACGAAGTCAGCATAATAAGCAGCTGATAATGCCATTGTCTTACTGGAAATATCAAAAGACGTCAAAGCAGCTTGTTTGTTGATGTAAACATCGAAAATCAAGCTGTTAAGAACCCTGCTAACAACGTCACACATATGCAGCCTAATGAGATAAGTGAAACCCTCATCGACCTCTAAAATCCACGAAATGTTAAATCGCTGACCGGTAACGTTTTCTTCAGCCATTTCTTGAGCAGTGGTGTAACCGAATTCGGCGCGATTTCGACTGAGATTCCATCGATGTACTTGATCAAATTTGGGTTCACCTTAACACTGTTGGCAGATGCAGCATTGATCAAATAAGCTTGATCAGGTTCCCATGTTCTCCACATAGAATCATTCTTAGGAGTCAGAAGAGGGCCTCCCATGTTCACCCTATAAGCCGTCTAGAAAGCTACGTGTTTCCTGATCTCAACTTCCGACCCCAATGGAATCGGCACGACACCACCGGAAGGAAAATTCTTGTCCAGTACCGCCACAACCTCAATCCCATTGACGAATGCAACCGAGCCATTGCTAGGAGAAAACTTCAGCTCCAAGTTTCTCGAACCCGAATCTCCGATCTCAATCACATACTCCTTCACCAGAGGAGAGTTCAAACCCGATTCCGGGAATGTGATCCGGCTTAATGTGATCCCATTAGCCACAACCGAAAAAATTACAGACACAATAGTGAATGAGTCTATTATAGGGACGAAAACAGTAGTCTATTATTTCAAGGAATAATATTTCAAGGGCTAAACTGATGTGAAAATATAATAGGGATGAAAATGATAAATTGAGTCTATTAGGGGCAAAAGTAGTCCTTAAGCCTTTTTTTAAATAGTCTGAGATGAACTTGTTACAAGGTAGTATTTGATTAGAATTTTCTTAATCTATTAACGACACACATATATATTATTGATACAGTTACTCGAATTTAGCATCTTTAAGAAAAACAACATTATCTTTAATTATTGAATTCATTCGATGAGTTCGAAAACAATATTTATGTCAGATATTTCGAAGGATTTGAATGTAATTAATGTTTTTGAAGCATAAGCAAAGGTATTGGCACATGTTCACATGGCTGATCCAAAGACCATTTTTCGATCAACTTGGCATAGATTTTATATTGCTTCACGCAGTAGGGGTCCCATGGGGCTTATCATTGGAGATTGGACCACCGCGTACGGTGCTGTTTATCAATTAATATAAAAATAATATGAAGCACAGCCTTGGGTCTTCGCCTAGTGATTTGCATTAGAGCCGAGGAGAATGAACACTTTTTTATTATTTAAATTAAACTAAAAGAAGACAGCATGCGTAAGAACCTTATGCTTTTTACGTTTAAGAAATCAGAGTTAAAAAGATGAAAACAGCCATGTTTTGAAAACCGGACCAGCCGGTTCAACCGGGAACCGCTGTCAGGTCCGGTTCATTCTAACCCGGTTAAACTGCTATTAGTAAATCGTAAGGAACCGTTGAACCGGCTATGAATCGTTCGAATCGGACCGGACCAGAATCGCTAAGAACCGACCATCAATAAAAAAATTAAAAAAGTTAAAATTTTTATTTTAAAGGTTAATCAACTTTTGTTTTGGTTTTAATGAGTAATGTTTGGAGATTTTTATTAGAAGTAAATCAAGTAATGAATGATAGAATTTTGGTGTTGTATTTAAGTATTATAGTTGTGGGGATGTTTTTAGTTTTTTATTAAATGTTTTTAGTATTTTTATTTAATTTTTTAAATAATTATGACGTCGTCCTGTTCTTTTGATCGGTCTGACCGGTTCGACCAGTTGAATCAGTGAACCGGTAGGACGGCCGGTTCACTGACCAGTCCGGTTCTGAAAACCATGGATAACAGCTTCTGTTGCAGATAGTCAAACTGACCCTCCTACTAGTCCTAAATAATTCAGATCGACTCACTTCATACATCAAAACACCGATCGACTTATTTCGTACATCAAAACACCAACTCATGTCGTACATCTGATTTTGATAGATGAATCTCCCAACTAGATTGACAGTGATCATGTACATAATACGTAGTGAAATGAGATTAATTTGGGGAGTAAGGACTAATTTGAATAACATTTAATCTTTGAGATTTGGAACTATAAATTTCAAAGTATAAGAAATGTAAGAGTAATAAGTTGAAGAAATCACACCTAAAAATAATCTAAAATTTTCAACCAATTTTTTATGAGTATATACAAAATTAATATACCATTGAGACAAAAGGGACAAGCCTCAACTTAATGCTGCTTTGCCCCCCTTGAAAGAATGTGAATCTATCTGTTTAACACACCACCCAAATTCAGACCCTAAAGCCTACCTTTAAACAATGTTAACTACGGCCACCGCGATGCCTACCTGCCGGAGTTGACGTTGTTACTAACCTCAATCATTCTCGCTTGCTCTTTGGTTCATCGCTCATAAAACGTTGTTACGAGTTGCATCACCCCCCCCCCCATTCGTAAACAAGAGATTCGATTAAGTACACACATATCGGTGGGAGTTCCGGCTCTTCAAATGTGTAATTACAGTTTATCACAAGCTGAATTAAATTAAACCAGTCGGTGCTGACGCAAACCTTTCCCGAAATGTGGTTGCATTAAACGAACGTACAAGCCATTTTTCGCAACCAAAGAATCATGTGTCCCTTCCTCCACGATTCGACCGCCGTTAAGTACCACAATGTTGTCAACATGCCTCATCATCGCTGCTCGATGGGCTATCAAAATGGTAGTTTTGTTCCCCATTATCAGCGTATCAAGTGCCTCCTGCACCACTCGGCTCGACTCGGATTCAATGGATGAGCTAGCTTCATCCAACAATAAGATGGGAGCATTCTTTAGCACCACTCGGGCAATGGCGATTCTTTGTTTCTGTCCTGGGGTCAAATCCACACCCCTCATACCGACATGCGTGTCGTAACCGTGAGGCAAGCTGCTGATGAAATGGTGAGCATTAGCTATTCTGGCGGCCTCTTTCATCTCGGCTTCGCTAGCATTGTGCCTTGCATATATAATGTTTTCCTTGATAGTAGTTGAGAAGATGACGGGTTCCTGTTGAACAAGACCCAAGTGATTCCTCAACCACCTCAAATTGTATTGTTTTAAATCCCGCCCATCAAGTAGAACCTGACCTGCGACCGGATCGTAAAATCTCTCGATGAGAGATATTATCGTACTCTTCCCAGATCCTGAAACTCCAACGACAGCTAAAGTCTGTCCGCCATTAACTTTAAGACTAAAATTGCTTAATACCAACATTTCTGGACGGGTAGGATAGCAGAAATCAACATTTTTCAACTCGATGCTCCCATATACATTAGGTGGCTTCAATGCTGAGTTATCATCTGGCTCGATTTTAGGGACTCGCTCGATAATTTCAAACACTGAAGCGAGAGATTTCCGCCTCTTGAGAATGTACGGTGCCAATCCAAATGGCTCCACCAGTGCAAAGGTGGCAAAAGAGAAAACTAAGTACTCCTTGACAGCCGTAGGCAGATCCACGTAGCCTCTTTTAACACATAGAGCGGTGTACCAAAGGAGAAGAGCGTTGCAGGCGAAAAGAAGGAACTGCGAAAAGCCAAATGCAAAACCTATTGCCATTCCATGAAAGAAGCTCTTTCTCAATATTTTCTTCAGCTGCAATCTGTAGAGCTCCATTACCTTATTACCGGCACAAAATGCGACAACAGTGTAAATGTTTCTCACTGCATCCTCGAGGACCAACGATGCCTTCCTATGCATCTCTTGGATTCCCTTAGAAAATCCAGCAAGCCATAATTTCTGATACATTTTAGCATGCAACAAATCAGAAATTTGGTTACGGACAATCTTACAACGGAGTTCAATAAGAAAAAAAACCGAAAGATATAGAGGAGAAAAAGGGTGCACAAATCTCTAGAAACTCTACATTTTTTCCTTTTCTTTCAATAACGAAGTAAAAACCAAATAATAACAACGAAAGAGATATGCAAACCTGTGCAAAAGCGGAGACGGTTAAAATTGGCAGGGTTGCGAGTGCCACAAGTGCCAACCGCCAATGTAGCAAAAGCCCAATTAGCAAAGCAACAATAACAGCAGTACTATCCTGTACAAATATTGAAAGCCGGTTGCTAAAAGCGGCCCGTACAAATGTAGCATCATTTGCCAATCGCATGGACAAGGTGTCAGCATTATTCTCTTCTTCATCAAACCATCCGACTTCATTCCGCAACATTGCTGTAAATTGTAGGCAAAACATGGTAAACAATATGCATTGAATTCAGCATTCCAGTAAATTTGCAACATTGATTTGAAGTGTTAGATACCTGAGAACATCATCCTGCGAACCCGTTCAGTCATCTTTTCCCCCATAATGCCGAAGTAGAAGTGTTGCAGAAAGTTGGCAATAACAGTTACTATACCCATACAGGCAATTATCAAACACCACCTGTCTACTTCATCCCGTAAGTCATTTTGTTCCCGACGCCTATAATATGCTGTTACTATCAGAGCGATAGCATAAGCAAGAAGTGGATTAAAAGAGCCAAAGATTGCAGCACCAATGCTTCCCAACACAGCATAGAGCCACTCTGCAAAACTAAGTTGTGCTAACCTCCAAAAAGATGGAGCTTCCTTATGATGCGCTTCCTTAGCTTTCATTGGGATGTCACCAGCATGACTGAGAGGGCGACTAAAAGTTTGAGAATGAGAACGTTCACTTTTAGGATCAGAAGTAAGAAGAGGTGATACAGGAGATTCTGGGTCAGAACCGTTTGATTTCTGCTCCTGGGTAGACTGAACGTCAAGTTTGGGCAACTCTGGTAGCATCATTTCAAAACTATCCTGCCTCCTGACTGACGGTTCCTTATCAACACCATCCACAGGCAAACCATTCTCGTGCATTTTCTCTGGTGGTGGACTATGAGCCTTAGGTGATTCTTGTGAGTTAAAAGCACCATCATGGGCTCGAAATACACCAGGAACTCTTTGAAGAGAAGGTGATTTGATCAATTTTGGAGATGATGATTCTTGGAAGCTGTAAGCCGATGAAGACTCCTTTTCAATCTGGAAAGTTGACATCTCCTTGTAGTTCCTAACTGGCGTCCTGAAAAAAAATAAACAGACATATAACAAGAATTTAGAATATAGCACAAGAGCAATTTTTTTATTTTAAGCCAAGAAAAATCACTGACAGAAATAGATTTCCATAGCCTTAATATATGCATATATAGTTATAATTACCTCCTTGGAAGTTTTGCTGCCTCTTCACATTTAAGGAGCTCTGCATACAAGCCATCAAAGGCTAGTAACTCATCATGTGTACCCATTTCAATCAGCTGACCCTCCTCCATCACAGCTATATAATCAGCATTTCGTATGAGACTAAGACGTCGAGCAATTATTATAGTTGAACGCCCCAACATCAGAAGATCTAGAGCTTCCTGAACTGTTCTTTCAGCTTCAAAATCGAGTCCACCAGTAACCTCATCGAGCAGAAGGATTGTTGGGTTCAAAAGCACAGCTCTAGCAATAGAAAGTTTGATTTTCTGTTCTTCTGTCAATGCTAAGCCACCCCTCCCCACCTGAAAGTCACAGTAAATTGATTTTAACAAAATTTGACACAAATGAGAAATAATCAAGATGATCAGTAAGATTGGTGAAAATAGTATATCTCGTTCTTCCATTTCACCTGTGTCTCGTATCCTCTCTCAAGCGAGCTAATAGATGTATGTGCATGTGCTATTTTTGCAGCTTCTTCAATTTGATCAAGTGTAACATCTCGCCCATAAGCAATATTATCTTTTATGCTCAAACTGAGTAATGCAGGTTCCTGAGTAACAAGTCCTATTTGGCTTCTCAGCCACTCCAGCTTTAGGTTCTTAATGTTCTCTCCATCCAGAAGAACTTCCCCTAAATCATAGAAAATAAAATCGTTCAAATAATGAAGGATGGCTCGCCACCAAGTAATGATTTTAACACCTGAAATGGCATGCCACTGTAATGTGATGCATAAAATTATATTAACATAATACCTAATGTAGGATCATAAAACCGTTCCATAAGTGGAATAATACTACTTTTCCCAGAGCCGTTTCTGCCAACAAGGGCCACAGCCTTTTTAGCAGGTACAGTGAGGTAAAATCCACTCAATATAGGGATCTCTGGTCGAGAGAGATAACTAAAATATACATTGCGAAACTCTATATTTCCTTGAAGGGAGGGTAGGATGTTCCCCTCCTGATTAGAACCAGAGGATGACCGACTAATCATCTCAAAAAGTCTATAAGCAGCAATTCGTCCTTGGTCAAATGAATAGAAATTTGTAGCGGCTTGGTTCAGCCCACTGCACAATATGGAAAGGATCGGTAAGAAAGTAGAGATTAGATAGCAAAAAAAATGAGAGCTACCGATGCTTACAGGCCACTTAAAATTACAGCAAAAAGAGCTGTGATTATTTCACCACCATGAGCCCTATTATGAGTGACCAGGAACCTTCCAACCCAAAGTTGTAAGGCACAAGAACATATTGCAAGCCCATACGTAAATCCAAGACCAAGCCCTTGCACAAGACTAATCAATATACCATATCTCAAAGTTGCTTGCAAAGAGGTCGCATAAGAATATTTGGCCAAAGTTTCATTAGTAAATGCATACAAGGTCCTAACATAAGAGATCGCCTGCAAAAAAAACGAAAACTATGTATATTAGCATCACTTCCTACTGTGCTTACCCATACAGAAGGTTGATTCTATGCAGAAAGTGAAGTTCAACAAAGAATTGAGGTCATCATTTCAACAAATTCAACACGATTGAACCCTCAAAGATATAATATGCATGATGCATGGAAGATAAAGAAAATGTCTAGCTCAAATTCCACCGAGCTTTGGGGAAACTTCTTTACTCCAGAAAGCAGCAGTAGTGTTGTGTTCAAAGTTTGAACAGAGTTCAAATAGTCTTATAGCTTCTATGGAAACTGCAAATCAACTTTTTACGGGCTGAAAGCTGAAACCCAAAGTTGGATCTTCAAATAACAAAAACTATTCTAAGTTTTCTAAGTTAACTCCAGAAATATCAATTTGACAATGCCTTTGAAAAGCTAGCAGCATTTTTTCCAACAACTCCAACGGGCCAAAGAGACTCCTAAACTAAGCATCTAAAGGCTCCTATAAATATCAAGCAAACATTAGGGGTAACTTTTCCATCATTTCTGTTTCAAATACAAAAAACTAGTAAAGATTAGTCCATAGGTCCATCCTTGTATTAACAGCCAGTTCAAATAAACTCATGATAGTTAAAATGCCATGGTAACTCCTCTCTTAAGTCAGTATATGCATTTCGGTTAACTCATTCTAAATGAACATTAAGCAAAGTAGCCGATTCAAATTCAAAACAACAATATTAACAAAAATCAAGTATGGTAGAAAGGAGTGGAGCAAGAAGAGAAGAAAAAAACCTGTTCAGCAATGCTAGCTGCCTCAGCATAAGCATCTTGAATGTTCTCAGCAAGCCTATGAAGAAATATATTGGATATGCCCCCAGCAGCAACAATGAATGGACCAGTGGCTAGAGTTATGAGTGTGATCTCCCAGCAGTTGGTAAAACCAAAAATTAGACCACTGACAAATGTAGCCATATTATGAACGTAATTTCCAACCTATATCATCGTAGGAATATTAGGATTAGGGAAGACATCCGTGACGATAAGTTATTACAAAAGTAGGGAAACCCACATGTGACTGAACATACTTTTTCACTAAGAGCAGACTGGATGAGCAATACGTCACTCAATACTTGACTCACTATGTCTCCATTATTCCCATAAGTATCAAAAAGCTCATATCTTGGCTCAATAAAACTTGTACATAGTTTGACCTGATGACAGCAGTCTGCCGCTCTCCCGTCAAAATCCAGCATGAAACCTCTATTACACAGAGAGCAAGTCAGCAACGAATGACAGAAATGATGCATCGACCAGAAGAAAACAGAAATGAAGGAATAACTGATTTTCATGAACTTACCAATCCAGCCAGCAACAAAAACACCCACAGCAATATAAACAATAGTTAAAGCAAGCTGCAGAACAAGAATGAAACAGTTGATAATAAGCACAAGTACGGACAACTTAGTGTCTGAAGGAAACTACAAATGATAGTTGTTTATATCAAGCAAAAGAAGAGATAGCTTTGCATTGCCTCATGTCATTTGCACCTTAAATTACTAATTAATACCTCTTAAGAATAAAGGCAATCCAGCCCTAACCCAGCAGATTGAGAGTTTCTATATTTTCATGGTAAAGATCAGAACAAAATATCATTTGCAAACAAGAAGAGATAATCGCATAGAATCAGTTTACATGCATTCATGGTAAGTTGATAACAAGTACATGAGAGAGTGGATACATAACTTGATGCCTATATCGTCTAATACTACAATTAAACTGTGGAAGTTTGATTTGCAATTAACTAAACTATCTCATTAAAAATTCCATTCTTTCTGCAGTTCATTACCCATTCTATTCTCCTTCCTTCCCTTTACTTTTCCAAAATATGCAAGCCTTGAAAATCTAAGATGAAACACGTCCTTTGTCTCTGCAAAGCTAATCTTTGGTTCTAATAATAATTTGCATCTTGAATGTGGAAGAACCACCTTGTCTCCAACCTAGAGGGATGGGGGAGGAGTAAAGGGCTGACTTACCCGGGTGTAGGGTCAAGTGTCGGATGTGGGAATGTGTCCAATACAGGCTTTCATATATTTGGAGGATCGTATCTATTTCCATGTCCGAATATTTCGAACATTTAGGTGTCTGGACACAGGTATTTTAAGAAAAATAATGAGTAGTCTGTGTAACATAGGTTATAGACCATCCATCCACCAAAAAAATTTAAACAACAATTTTCTACTATGGAAATACCTAAGCCTATACAAGCAATAACCCTTAATCCCAGAACTTCAAAGCTAAAACAGTCCACCTGCCCCAATTTCTCCGACTCTATAAAAATAAAACATCTCAGTAAACCTCTGAAACTATATATTCGTCAACTAAAACACTAAGGAACGGCTTTAAAATCCCAGAATTTAGTCTTTTAACTATCTGAATTTAAAAAAATTAAAATTAGCCAACCTCTGTAAACCTTTCAAATTGCTCATCCAAACTCTCCGGAACTGACGACCCAATTCCAAGAACATGAACAATCTTCGCAAAGAAATGCAAGTAAGCAACGGGAGCGGTCCCATGAGCAGCAGCAGCAATCGATCCAACGAGCATGAGAGCCCAATCAAGCTGGTCAGCACAGGTGAAGAGCCTCGAGAAAGGAACAGCAGCGGGTGTTTGTTCCAGCTCTTCAGCCTCCTCCATTTCCTCCTCCGCCTCCGCCTGCGCCGCCGCCGCAGCTGCTGATTCCGCACTTGGGTCCAAGTACGGAGAAGGCGATTCCGGCGGCTCCGAAACCTCCGATACTGGTGTCAACGGCTGTATGTGGGGTGGCGACCACCCGAATAAACCTCTTGATATCATCATCTCGAAAGAAAAACCAAAACCCTAAGTATCCTTACTCCAAATTTAGTATAAACTTCTAGCGGATCTGGTAAACTCAAAGACCAAAAAATCACGACAAAAAAAATCAGACTTTTTTCCCTCAAAGTAAATTAAAGATTTGGGATTTTCATTTAATTAGCTTTTTCTTGGAGTAAAAAATGGAGACCAGGTCAACGATGGCGAGGGAGACAGAAGAAACAAGAAAGAAAATCTGGAGTAGCCCAAGCTAACATTCAAGCACTGCAAAAGAACAAAATTAAAAATTTAAGAGATTTTCCGAATTTTTTTAGGCTTTTAACGATTCCAGTTTTGTTTTTGTTAACGGCAAAAGTTTTTTTTTCCCTTTTCATTTGCTTATTGGATAAATTTTTATTTATTCTTTCAATTTTTTAAATGTTTTTAAATTTAGTTGAATTCTTGTTGATTTTTTAATTTTTTTTTAAAAAAATAGATAATTGGTTAATTAGATTTCAAAATTTAGTTTATTCTTTTGAATTATAGTTGTGAGGTTTATCTTGATGCTCAATATATGAAACTTGTAAATAGTTTTTAAGTTATTTTCATAATTTTTTTTATTAATTTGGGACAAATATAATGAAATATTTATTTAAAGATAACTCTCCATCATCTAGCATTGAACTTATTTTTGGTACTTTAAATCGGAAGCTCAATTTTAAATTAGTTACAAGCAATATTTATTTATATATAACTCTTTACTACTTGACATTGAACGTTAACACTCCTGACATTCCTGGTGCTCGAACATGATATTCCAAAACTAACAACAATTCATTTACCACTAAGGTCGTTTGGTTCATGCTAGTTATTAGGAATTTTATGTTTTGTAAAGATGATATTATTATTTTTTATTAATCTAAGGTAAGTACGGTATAATATTTGTTCAAAACCCACTCTTTGAACGCTTATATCTTTGACATTCATGCAACCTTAAGACTTTAAAAAATAATAACAATTTCTTAATTATTGAGATTGATTGGTTCATGTTTAAACGGAACAAAAAAATTTAGGTCATGGGTGCTCCCTTAATTCAGGGTCAGGGTATACTTAAGACCCAATTCGAATTTACATTCATGCAATCTTAGGACTTTAAAAAATAATAACAATTTCTTAATTATTGAGATTGCTTGGTTCATGTTTAAATAGAACACAAAAGTTTAGGTAAGGGGTGCTCCCTTTGTAATACCCCAAATTATGAGTTAGTAGTTCCGGTTAACCCGAAACCCGTCAGTAGAGCCCATTAGATTTTCCAAGCCAATTTTAGATCAATTCTTAAGAGTATTGGGCTTAGGTTGGCCCAATAGTTATAGGAAAGTGGTGTTTTTAAAAGTAAGTAAATAGAAGAATGAGCTAAAGTGTAGTTTAGTTTACCATTTTGTTAAAGCTGAAAACTTTTTCCTCTTTTTATATCGTTTCACGTAACCAAACTCCCCATAATATCTCATCCACTCTTCTTCTTCTTCTTCTTTATTCCATTGGTTTTCATTTGTTCTTCTTTCAAGAGCCACGTTCAAGTATTCTAAGTTTAGTTTGTTGTAAACAATGTAAGAATGTATACCTCTATTCTTCAATCTTGTTTTAATCTCCATTTTGTAAGTTTTAGAAATTGTTATCAAAAATGGGTTTTATGGAAGTTAGGGGGATCACTGAATACAAGCTTGGTTATAGTGTATTCAAGTTATCTAGAGCATCTTAAGCTTTAATCCAAAAGCTTACTTAGTTTAGCAAACCCTTTTTCTTGTATTTATTTAGTAAGGAAGGTGGGAGAAAACTCTAAAGCAAGAGAAAAAGAGAAGTTGCCCATTGGTTAACTTAAGAGAGTTTCTAGCAAACAAGAATAAATGTAACACACTATCAACTCTTGCATACTCCTAGTGATCATTAGAAATGAGTTATGGCTTGAGAGTAAGTTATGAAGCTTAGTGTTATATAAAACCTTATTTATGCTCCTTGTAATCACATAAGACTTTAAAGAATGTTTAAGGACCTCAATAGGGTCTTTGGGATTGAAATATAACATTTTTGTATGTGTTTTATGACTTCTGCAGGTTGAGTATCGATACTATAAGGATAATACTGATACTTGTTATTCGTTTTGGGCAAATTCGTGAGTTTCTGGGCAAGATAATCGATATTCTTTCAAGAGTATCGAAACTTAGGGCCATAGTTTCGAAACTCCCAGAAAGTTTCGAAACTGGGCAGAACAAAATATTTAAAAGTATCGGTACTTATATAAAGTATCAAAACTTTTGCAGGAGTATCAATACTATTGGGCTAGTATCGATACTTTCACTTTCAGTTTTGGGGAAAAAATCAGTTTTTAAGGGAATTAAACTCAAAGTACCTCAACACTTCAATATTTCCTCACATAAGACTTTAAGTGAGAACATTAATGATGTTTAATTCAAACGTAGAAACGAGAATAAAGTAGGGTGAAATATGATTAGCCTTGTTTGAATGCTCAGGAAAACGACCAAAACACCTGAGTTTCTTAAGAAAAAAAATAGCAGAGTTGAATGTATAGATTCAGTCTTAATATCCCTAGAGAGTGTGCAAGGAACTTTAAGCTAACTAGTTTGGGTACAAGGTCCGACACTCAATGAGTGGGCTAGTTGAGAGTGTGGTGTCCGATGTAGAGATTCTGAGACCCATATTCTCGGTAGACTAGAGGGGTGTGTGAACTTCGAGATATGAAACCCTCATCCGCACCATGATGTCTACCATAGAATAGAGAGTGAGTATACGAGTAAACTCACTAAAGCATAATAGAACATACCAGTAGACCAGATAGAAGTAGACCATATAGCATTAGACTTGATAGCTTGAGCATTTCAGTGATAAAACTTTTAGTATGTTTTAGTTGTTAGTGTGGCGCTGAGCTAGTTAGCTCAGCCTTCGAATTGTTTTCCATGGGTAGGTCAGTAGATCGAAAGTTCGAGGAGCAGTAGATAGATCAAGGTCCAGACACAATGTAGATTCAGAGTACATCTCAGCAGTTTTTAAAGGGCATGTATATTTTATAAACCCAATTGTATCAGTTGAGTCATAAATTTTATTATGGGTCGATTTGTAATATTTTGATTATAAATATTTATTTTGGGAGCTCCTCAGTATAAAGTTTTAAATTATATTATTTCATGGATGTTTTATTTGTGGAAATGGTCATTTTAGTACAAGAAAAGAGTAAGGTGTTGGTAAGCCACTTCAGTGGTTCCGTGTGGTATCCTATATTGGTCGACTGTGTGTCGTACTGGTCTAGGGTGTTACACCCTTAATCCAAGGTCAGTGTATACTTAAGACCCAATTGGGACTATATAGAAAATTACAAATTGCCTACAAAAAAATGTTTATAATATAATTCGAACTTGACTTTACAAACTCAAATCCCAACCACTTATATTGGACACAATTCTTAAATTTCTTAAATTGTTTGAAGATTATATGAATCTTACTACCTCTATTATCATTTAATAATGTTTTTCGAAAAATAGTATATGAATATTTTTATACTTTTAATTGAAATTAATTTAATTGATTATATAAATATTTTTAAAGTTTCTAATAATAACTATATGTAAACATATTGTATGATGCTTATTAACATATTATATTATATTGTATTTGTATTTATTCAATGTGTGATATACTTTTCTCATGTTGTATATGATTCTTTTAATGATTTTACTATTAAAATATTTAAGTTTAGACTCAATAAATTTTTAACATGAAATAAATTAATTTGAAGGTAGGTTTCTAGTTCCTTGAGAAAGGATTTAGCAAATTTTAATGAATTACTATATATATGTGTTGTAATTGCCTCATTTAATACAATATTAATAAAAAAATAAATTTAAAAATTGTTTCTCTCAATATCCAAAATAAATAAATCAAGGGCAAAATTATATATTTCACCCCTTTAACTTTTTTCTCAATCTTACTTTGGTTATTAAGATTTTTTTTAAAAATATTTTATTCACTAAACTTTCAGATTTTGAACTTTGTCGTTAAATATTTAACAATGTTATAACTATATATATATGAATATTATGAAACACCCCCAAAACTTTCTTCATTTCGAATGAAAAAACATCTGGTTTCGAATTTCCATTGATTTTCAAACAACAAAGTACTTCTTCCAAATTCAAACGGTGGAGAGATAGAGAATGATGTGAGTTATCTATGTAGGTCCACATTGATCAGACAATGGGTATTATAAATCGAAGTGATTTGGGGCTTTGTGATTTTAAAATGATTTTGGAAAATTTTAAATTGACAGAATTATATGGGACGATAAGATGATTTTATTAATTTCTTGAGTGGTCGGAAAAAACATTAAAGAATGTTGATTCTGGTATTAATGTGACACATTAATGAAATTTTTATTTTTACATGAAAAGGGATAAAATGGAAAAATAAAGAAAGAAAGATAACATGGATGTCACATAACTGTAATATTAGGTAACGCCTAATATTAATATTCTGGTAGAATAAATAATGTTTTATGTAGCACTTTACCGAACTTCCTTGGTATTGGGTACTACCATAGAATAGCTAGATCTTTGCTTGACAATGAATATTTTAATAATGACACGTGTGGATCTGTGTAAGTGTCAGGGTGAGGTTAGCATTGCTCGGTGGATCTTCTTTCCTTTTTGCTCCTTTTGCTTCCCACTTTTTTCCTCTTTTGATTTTTTTTCTTCTCATTTTTTAAAATCATTTAATATAAATAATTTATTTATTATTTTTATTAAATGTAAGTATTATTATTTAAATTTGAACTTGAATTAATGAAATTATCTTATATATTTGAGTTCAGAGATATCTCTAGTGGTTGAAGAAGACATCAAATAATAATAATTTTAGTGTCAATATAAAATAACAATATAATTGTAAAATTTTCATCTTTAGATGACAAATAATAATAATAATAATAATCATTATTATTTTAATGTTATTTTTTGTTAATCCGGGGTAAGTACAAAATAATATTTGTTTAAAGATAATTCTTAATCTTTTGATATTGAACGGTTATTCTAAATTGGTCCTTAAACTTTTAAACATTTCAATTTCATCCCTAAACTATGGCCCTCTTTCTAAATTGGTCCTTAATTTTTTTTGAATATTCCAATTTCATCACAAATTCATCCAATTATATAATTAGCTTCAACAATAATTTAACCTAATTTTTTTTTTACAAACATATAATATAACTTGGCCTACCGAT